CCCCCCGAAAGGATCTGAAATCTTTTGAGTTTATCCTTACCAAGAAAAATAAGTCAGAGTGTTAACAGAGAGTAGTTAAATTCTTTGTTTTTCAAAACGAGTTCGGCTCAACTCTCCGTTAGGACCCAGATTCTGGAATGGTGCCATCTAAATTGTATCAGTCTCATGTGCTTTTTAAATTAGTAGTGGAAGAATCTTCGTTTAGTGTGCTTCTTTTGGGTTATACCTTTATTTAAATTTGGAAATCTGAGTTTTTTAATATCTAGTTCTCTTTTACTTTGTTCACAAACATTGTAAACATGTTAGGATTAGTCCTAAATATTATAGCGGTTTGGGTTTTTTTCTCCCTTCACTTGTTTTTGAAGTTTAGCTGGAAGCAACAGTTAATCTTTAAAGGAGTCATGCTTATAAAGTTGGGATAGTGCTGAGTGGCTGATGTTCTGCTGATTCCAGCTGTAAAATGTTTTTGAAGAGAAGAAAAACAATTTGCTTTTGTTCCAATACACTATAATTCTTGAGGTCCACTGAGTTTCTAAAAACATTGACTCAAAAAGTAAAATAAAGAATTGTTAACTGTGTTTTTCCTTAGTATCCTTTTGTTTTAGAAAGGAGAAGATATTTATTAGGATCTAGTGAGGCAAAGAGGTTATCAGAATTGAGAGTTAGATTGTGTTGACTTTAAATTTCAGGAAATTAGCTACCTCTTATGCAATACCACAATTCACAAGTATTTATTCTTATTTACTTATTTATTTATTTATTTATTTAAATGACATTTAAAGGGGAAACTTTCTTATGGACCTTTCTCATTTCTCTAGCTTTAAAAATATCTGTGGAATATACGTATACACATACACAAAAGTACATTTTTGTATGAGTAAGATTAGTGTACTCAATGGGGGTATAATAATGAAATCTATTATCTAAATACGACATACTAGTTGTTGGAATGTGTTGCCTTTGTACTATTTTAGTGGGCCTTTGTCCTGTGTGTGTGTCCATAATATTTGTCCATAATTAGTGCTGAGTGGATACGGTAATATGCCAGTCACTCAGAGGTCAATTTTCCCAAAACCCCAAATATCCCAAATACACCCCTTTAAACTCTGAAATAAATTTTTAAAAAAATGATGTGTAAAAATTGGAAAGCTCCAGATGCCTTTTTATATATATATATATATGATGTGAACCTTCTTTTAGGGTCATTGTCTTTTTTGTAAGTTTTTAAATCTCCTTTAGAAACAAAATCTCAAAGTAGATGGAGGTGAAGGAGGCGAAGCGAACACTCCTGTCTAATGGAAGCAGCACCAGTGCGCTCCTCAGTGCTCGCGAACACCCCTAACCTTTCAGAACGATGACTGTTGCTCTCACAAGGCTCTGTGAATTCAGGGAACCGTGGAATATACATTTCAAAAAGATTTCTCTTAAAAATGGCTTTAAAATAAAGTATCTGGCTCTTAGCTGAGCACACTATTTGAATATTTGAAAAATTTTCTATGTAGATGACTTTTTGGCCAGTACCTTATAAATATGCTTTAATTTAGGCGCGTTAATTTACTCACACATCTTTATTAAGCTGTTTTTCAGGCATTGTTCTAGGCAGTAGAGATTCCACAATGAACAGAAAAGACACAAATCCTTGCCCTTAACACATCCCTCTAATCAAGTGGGAGGAAGGCAGAAAATAAAGAAACAAAAATAATAAGTATACCGTTTTACAGATGGGTTACATGTATTAAAAGTTTTTTGTAATCTTCACTTGATATATTTTTTATTGATTTTGGGGAAAGGGGAGGTGTGGGGAGGGAGGAAGGGAGAGAGAAAACAAAACCACATCAGCCTGAGAGAGAAACATCTACCGGTTGCTTCCCATACACGCCCCGCCAGGCACTGAACCCGCGGCCCGGAGTGTGCCCTGAGCCGGCCCGGAACGCGCCCCCTTCCAGNAGCCAACCGGCCACACCGGCCAGGGCGAATTATTTTCATTTTTGATAGTAAATGTCAAAGTAGTTAATTATTTTCTTTTTTTAAAATTAATGTCTGCTTTTGAATACACTGTCCTACATCGATTATTCCTCATAGGATCAGTAGCGTAGACTGGGACCTTCTGCTAGGTAGCAGGTGTGCGAGCAGTGCAGCTTGCAATTTAGAAATGCTGTATTTTGCTATTACGCTTATGTGTTTCATGTAATTTTTTTTTTTTTTTGCCATGAGAAGAAAAGGTTAATATTATAAATCTTGTTTGCCTCATGATCGTATAAGTTTAGATTTCAAATTGAGACTTAAACTGTGAAATAGATAACCTCAGCTTGATACCCTAGTGTATGTTTTAGAGAAGAACATTTGTGAAAATATTAACTAGATACTTTTGGAATGATAAACCAGGAGTGCCTTAGGTTAGGCCCTTTGCAGTCTTTGATTCTGCAGTCTTTCGACTAGTCGCTTTGAAGCAGTTCTGTGAAAACAGAAACAGACTCACAGATACAGAGGACAGACTGGATGCCAGAGGGGAGAGGGTTGGGAGACTGGGTGGAAAGGTGAAGGGAGTGAGAAGTAGAGAGTGGTGGTTGCAGAACACCCCGGGGATGACAGAACAGCACGGGGACATAGTCACTAATATTGTAATAACTGTGGATCGTGCCAGCTGGGTACTGGAACTATCGGGGCGAACACTTTGTAAAATATATCATTGTCTAACCACTATGCTCTACCTCTGAAACCAATACAAAGTAATTTTGAATGTAAACTTTAATTGACAATTTTTTAAAAAAAAAACAGTTTTGTGATACNCTCTGAAACCAATACAAAGTAATTTTGAATGTAAACTTTAATTGACAATTTTTTTTAAAAAAAACAGTTTTGTGATACAGCAGAATATTACTTTGTGTAGTTGACAGATGAGGGTGATAGCCTCGAGAGACTTTATTGGTACAACCAGGAGAGGAGAAGAGAGCCTCTGGGATGACAGGCATCACTTACTTGACTAAGTTTTGTGTTTCTTGGTTAGTAGAATTCCAGAAGATAGCATTGGTGTTTCCATGCATTGATTGTGCCCAGTGTCAGGAATATGGGATTTTTTCTTGTTGAACGAACCTCAGAATAATCCTTTCTACTGTTTTGTTACTGGCTGGACTGGAGACAAGAAGAATGAAACTGAGTGCTTAAGGCAGACACGTGGGCTGTGTGAATAGTTCGCTGGCATCTTTCTAGTGGGGCACCCTCTCTGGATTACTCCTCTGTGGCCCCAGACTTAAGCGCTTGTCCCCACCTCCCCCCCATAGCATTTTCATTCCTTTTAGGTGTATGTCTTCTTTATCTTTTGCCCTTAAATTCCCCAACCAGCTGTATCCTTCAAACACTGTTGCTTCATTTATGAAGCTGCAGACCTATGAACTTCAAATGTCTCTTCTTAGCCCCTCTCCCTTGTTCTACAAAGTAACTATAAAATGCACAGTGTTTATGAAAAGTGATCACCAGTTCTTCTCAGATTTGCTTCTTATTTGAATAAAGTCAAAACCAAAGGAAAACTGTAGAGGAAAAAATATAGGACCTCATTTAGCTATTAAAATAATGACTAGTATTATGGGAGTTTTATGTGAAACTTGAAAAAAATGAAAGCGTTTGTTTGTTCTGTTTTAATGGCATCACAATATGGTGCACCAACAGAAAACTTATTAAGACATTTCTCAATATTGCCATTTGACATTTTCCAGGCTGCTATCCCTGTCCAGGGCCCAACATGAACCCTATTGCTCTCGGGAACCGCTGGCTCGCGTATGCAGAAAACAAGGTAAGGCAGGGCCCACGTTTGGATTGTTGGTAATGGAGCAAGTGTTCCCGAATTTTCCCAAAGTGATTACCAACCAGTAATGAGCATTTTACTTATTAGTTTGTTTTCTTTGATTTGGTTTTAGTTGGACACCCAATAATTGTCCTGTCTCTCTTCTTGCTTAAGATCATTATTTGGACAGAACTGTAATTTTCTACGTTTAGTTTTATAGAGAACTTGACTCCATTAATTGTAAAACATAGCATTGATACTACCAGAGTAGTCTCTTTGTAGTTAGGAGTCAGGAGGCAGGAATGACTTCTGTCTTTATTGGCAGATTGGGAACCCGAGGCATAGAGTAATTTCATTTACTTTAACTATTTGTCTACAACTAAATCTAAACAAGGGTTCAGCCATTTGTCTTAATAATTAAATCACAGATGCTCACATTTTGTTGAATTTTCCAGTTATTTCATTAATTTCTTTCTAAAAATATGTCTTTATTGATTTCAGAGAGTGGAAGGGAGAGGGCTAGAGAGAGATAGAAACATCGAAGATGAGAGAGTCATTGATTGGCTGCCTCCTACATGCCCCCCACTGGGGATCGAACCCGCAACCCAGGCATGTGCCCTGACCAGCAATTGAACTGGTATCGAACCTCAATCTCCTGGATCGTAGGTCGATGCTCAACCACTGAGACACGCTGGTTGGGCTAGTTCATTAATTTTATTTGTTGATTAAGGTCATCATAGTAAATGAAGATACTATATTTATACACTGAAAGTTTTGTATATGTCCAAATCAAAGCAAAAGGCATATTTGAATTTTCAGAAAGAAAAAACGAAATTCTTTCTATGCCATTTGTTGCTCTACATGTGAATATAGAACGAAATCTAAAAAAAATTCAACTTTAAAGAAGATTATAATTTTTTTCGTTTTTTTTCTGGCGTGTTTTTAAAAATATTTATTGAATAGTTTTTTACACAAGCCTGGATATGGTAAGTACAATAAGTAGTTTTAGAAACCACAGAGCAAATAAGTCCCTAGCCTTTGGGATTTACAGAATTACCTAAGGCAGAAAAAAGATGGTATTTCCAAGATAATGTCTTTCCTAGCATTTGCGGCAGGAGGCAGCAGAGGGATAATTAATTCTTTTGAATGTTTGTGAATGAATGAATGACTAAGGGAGGGAGAGAGTGAGATTCTTTTTATTAACTAAAACAGTCATTTTCAAACTCTCTATTTTCCCTTATGTGAAACCACACTTGCTGCTGATCACCTGTCATTTGGAAAATTCCTCACCACTGACCTTGAACTTGACGTGAGCCACCATTGAGTGTGGCAGTGGGATGTCTCACGTCAGACTTTTAAAGCTATTTCATCATAACATATGTATTGCTATTGCTTTGAGGGATTGCTTTTTCATACAACGTTAGTGAAGAAGAAAACTTTGATTTTAGAATAAAAGATTAAAAGGTTTACACATGAATCTTTATCAAATGACCTGGTTTTAAATGACATAAAGTGTTTTTGTTCTTATGTTTTGGGAGAGGTAGATTCTTTCTGAACTCTATGGGCTTGCAGTAATTTATATCACAACATGGAGCTGTTCTAATGCTCAATTGTTGTTATTTCATTAAAAATTAGAATGCGCCCTGGCTGGTGTGGCCCAGTGGTAGATCATCGGCCCCGGCACCGAAGGGTCTCGGGTTCGATTCCCTGTCAAGGGCACATACCTGGGTTGCAGGTTCGATCCCCAGTGCAGGTTGGGAGGGTGCCTGTGGGAGGCAACCAATTGATGTGTCTCTCTCACATCAATGTTTCTCTCCCCATCTCTCTCTCCCTAAAAATCAACGGAAAAAATATCCTTGGGTGAAGATTGACAGCAACAAAAAATGTGAATGTAAAAATTTGGCAGTGTATATATTAAACTAAGTTTAGGGAATGTNTTGAATGTAAAAATTTGGCAGTGTATATATATTAAACTAAGTTTAGGGAATGTAGGAGCAGTGGAGAATTTAATTNCATCTCTCTCTCCCTAAAAATCAACGGAAAAAATATCCTTGGGTGAAGATTGACAGCAACAAAAAATGTGAATGTAAAAATTTGGCAGTGTATATATTAAACTAAGTTTAGGGAATGTAGGAGCAGTGGAGAATTTAATTCCTGTTTATTTCTCAGCACATGAGAGAATCATGCTTGTAAAACTAGTGACTCACTTGGAAAATTGGCAGGTTGATAATATTTACATTAGACACGAATAAGGGCCCGTCTGAGGGTAAAACTAGTAAGCCCTCGGAAGAATAGCTACTATGTGTCATGGTTGATTTATGCGTGATTCGTGCCACTTTTCNGCTAGTGACTCACTTTGAAAATTGGCAGGTTGATAATATTTACATCAGACACGAATAAGGGCCCGTCTTTCTCATTCTGAGGGTAAAACTAGTGAGCCCTCGGAAGGATAGCTACTATGTGTCATGGTTGATTTATGCGTGATTCGTGCCACTTTTCCACTGACACAGTTGAAAATGAAAATACGGCACAATCTTTTGTCTCTCTCAAAAGTTTCCTTCTATAATCTTTATGTAGGAATTAAGAGGACAAAACCTCTAATTTGCTAGCATGTTAAATATTTAATGTTAGGAAGTCATGTCTAAGTCCTTTGATTATGTTTTTAAATTTTATTTGTGGAAAGGCTGCCAGAGCCCAAATTCTACTATTTCAGAGTTTATGAATTCTCCAAGACGATTCATCTTGTAATTAAAAATCGCACTGGAGCATGAAACGGCCTGAGTGGCACCAGTAGATTATAAAAAGGGCTAAAAGTGTCTGAGCCGGGCTTTTGGCTGTTTGTATGAAATACACTCGTGCAAACATTCCCACCCACCGCCATCGTTACGCCTGGTAAATAAGCTCTGGCCTAATAGCCCGTAGAGTTAAACAGTTTAATAGAAATGACTTTCTGGTTTCTCTCTCTCTTTTTCCAGTTGATTCGATGTCATCAGTCCCGTGGTGGAGCCTGTGGAGACAACATTCAGTCTTACACTGCCACGGTCATTAGTGCTGCTAAAGTGAGTATCCAGTAGTCTCCGGGAGTGGCAATTGTGCAGAGTAATCATCAAGTTTCTTCCCTGAATCGGACTGAGATGGTCTCTGCCCTTTTCATTCACAAGTGTAATAAATTTAAGTAGTCAGATTTATTTTGTCACTCATGAGAATTGGTGACTAAATGATTAGGCATTTAGTTTCTTAAGGTTCGTAAATAATACTTCAGCTTCTGTTGTAATGCTTATGGTGTTTATAGCGATCCAATTTTAGGTTAAAGTCTGTTATGTAATTAATCCCACTTTCAAAAGAAGCTGTCCACGTCCGAAGTGGTGACTTCTGGATTCTTTGTCTGTAATTTTTATTATTCTACCGACACTGATGTCCCTTTGCATCTTTGCACATTTATGGATCTTTTGGATGTGAAAAAATAGTATTCCTTACGAAAGCTCGAGTCCAATCCCTAGCACATTCAGATTCCTTTAAGTCACAGGCTGCCCCTTGCATGTCTGTCACGTGAGTTCTTTCTGTGTGCGCACTAGAGTTAATTTTGACGGTGGCTCGTAAACTTTATGCTGATTATAAGGTATTTTTATAATCACTATCCTTTTGAATTCTGCAGTATACAACAAAACAATTCTAATAATAGGGGTGACATAGCGAATCTAAATGACAGCATGTAATAAAAAGCACAACTATTCAGAAAAGAACAACAGTTTAAAGCAAACCACAGGGAGGGAATCAAAGGTCACACTGTTTTTGTGTAAAACAAATACAAGAATACTACAGGGTCGATCGCAAATGCTTCCACGGTGCGCTGTAGAAAGTGCTCCTGGGTTTGATGAGAGGAGCATTAAATACTTCTCACTCAGAAGGTGAATTCTGGATGTCAGTGCTTACAGCAGTCTCTGTTTTGGATTTCAGAATCTTTATTAAAACAGCTGCTTACTTTGTGTATGCCAAAATCACGATGGTTATTTCAGCGAAGAGAAATCCGAGACAGAGCAATGAGGCAACATCAGGGGGACTCCGTTAGTTTACAATAGATCCGTTTCTCAGATATTGGAATCTTTTTATACTTAGGTGCCACACACTCCCATCAGGATAGCTTATTGTATTATCGGGTCGAACGGTTTCCAGTTGTGCGACGGAGGGCGGTTTTTCAGCTCTTCTTGGCCAGCACTGTTTTTGGAAAGTGACCTGCTTTGCTCAGGAACTGTTAAGCTGTTTAACTCTGGCCGCGTGGACTCGCTGGAGTGAGACGAGGCTAAACGCGCTTTGAAAGGAACAGGCTCCAACCTCCTGCTCTCGCCCCAGCGTGGGGAACTGTGAGGAGCCAGAGGAAACGGGCTGGTGGCGACACCCCCCAGTCAGTTCCCAGGGACCGCCGGTCACCGGTGAAATTAGTGCTAATTGAAATGCATTGTTAGCTCCGGCAGCGTCTAAAATTCTTCCATTAGCACTTGAATGAAGTGGTTAATGTTTAATTTTTGTTCATTGCTTTTTGCCTGATTTTAATGCTTATTCATGTTCTTGTTTGTAAGTTTATAAAATGAAGGGAAAATAGAACCGTGAACGTAAGCCACCCATTTCTTTTTTTTAAATTACAAATATTCTTCCATAGAATAAAAGAAGGGTCAGATGATTTCTAATCTTGTTTTGTGATGCACGATCACCTTGATACTAAAACTTGAGCATTATGAAAAAGGGAAACCGTAGTCCTGTCTTTCCTCATGAACATAGACAGGAAAAACCCTCAACAAAAAGCTAGCAGAAAAAAGGAAAAAAATATATATGGTAAGGATAATGCAGCACAATCCAGTTGGGAAAATTCCACACTGTAAGATTGGTTTGTTACTCAAAAGTCAATGAGTGTAACTTGCCACATTAACAGATTAAAGGGAAAAACAGATATGATTATCTCAATATATTTACAAAAACAGTTTGATAAAATCAAACATATATGCATGGATGAAATACTTTAGTGAATATTGATAACTTCTGATTCTCTAGAATTCAGTTTTTTTCAAATTACCAAATTGTTTAAATACAGTAAACATGGTTATTTCTAAGTATGCTTCTGATAACTCCAATACTTGGTTTCGTTTTCGGTGTATTTTTGTTGTTCGTCTCGGCCGGTCCTCATTTATGAAGTCTTGACTCCTTGTTTGCCAGACTTTATTTCAAAAATCTTGAGAAACAATTTTGAGTTTGAGATGATACCAGAGTCCTGCGGCACTGTCAGCCTTGGAACATCTTAACTGAATTTCAGGGATTGAGATCACTTAAGGGACTTAAATATAGTGCTCACCGAAATATCTCTGAGATACTTGGCTCCCTGCTTCGCTCTTGTGTCTGTTGCATACCCCTGCGTTCCCACCCGAGGCGGAGGGGACGGTCGCCAGGCTGGCCTCTTGAGCGGCCCGCGCACTTCGCGCGTTACCGAAACGCCACTCAGCCTCTTGGCAGCACTCTGGGGTCATCAGCGGCGTCTGGGCCGCACTGCCCTGCTTCCCGCCTGGATCTCCTTCTTCTCTGGGGTTCGGGACTCGGAACTTTCAGCGATCGTGTTAAGTATTCAGCATCTTCAAGTAGAGGTTAAAAAAAATTTCTACCCAGTTTTCGTACTAGTTTCCATCGGGAGGATTAATCTGATTTCCCTAGACTATCACTGAAAATAGAAAAGAAAATTTCTTATTTCTTGCCATTTTTATCATTTCTAGGTAATACAATATTTTTTGAGTTATAGCGTGGAAATCATTGAGAAGATGCTTTTCTAATCTTAAAGTAAATTCACATTCACTTCATCGTTGTATCACTTTCTCGGAAAGATTAGGATTTCTCTCTCCGATGACAGTTTCTTATGTGGCTTCACAAAGGGCAGTTAACCACTTTATTATATAGAAGGATTAATTTTTAAGTTTTTACTGTTTTTCTCACGATGCAGTTGTAAGCATAAATATGTTAACTGTATATATACTTGGATCTCTGCAGCAGTACTCTTTTTTAAAAAAAAATTTTAAAACAATTTCTGGATTTTCAAATAGCACTTAAAATTAAAGTTTATACTTTTAGATTTTTTCCCCCCTTTGAATTTCAAAATAATTTGTCTTTCCTTCAGAATACAATAGTGATGAATTCTCTCTGGTGGTAATAAAGGAAAAAGTTAATATTGAAATTGTTCAAATTGGATTATTTTGATACATTTATAAAATCTTGTTCCATATTTTCTAGTCACCCCTGTAACTTGTCCTATTTCAGTTTTCTTTTTAATGTGTTTTAACCCCAGTGCGGTCAATTGATTTAATAAAAATGCCTCTATTTTCTCTTGTTATCTGATAACTTCTTAATGACAACTAACAGGTTTTGTGAGAGCAGCACCATTAGCGCTAATGGACAGGGAGGACAGCTGATACGGCACGGGAAAGGTTAAAGATGACCGGTGGCCCTTTGGCAAATCTGTCTGCAGCGCAACTGAATCAGTACTATGCTGATTTGAAGTTTTGGTCATAGTGGATTATCTCACATTCGATGTAAACCTATGTTCCGTCTTCTTAGATAGCCCTGTGAATACTCGTATTTATGTATGTAATGAACTTTTTAATTTAGATACCTCAGGTTGTGAGGACACTCCATCTCAATTAACATCTCCATTTGGCCTGTTTAGATTTTTTAATTCCTAATTTTTTCTTAGCCTCTACCCGTTTTTGTATGTGTTTGGGGAAATCATCAGGTACGCACATTTCCTTTCTACTGAAATGTAGTGACAAAGGTAATTACACAGTGGATTTAGGTGCCCAAATATGATATACAAAAATTATTAAATAACATTATATATTGCTTCTGGGCACTAGTGCTCATCGATGTGACATGGAAACAAATTTCTCCTAGAAGCAAAGGTCTTTACTAATGTAGAAAATGCCTAGCACCCCTCTCTCCTGCTGCATTAGACCTTACTTGGAAGTTAGTAAGCTGTGATAGATAGTATTACCTTGTCACTTACTATACAGAGTGCAGATTTGATGACTGTTAAATTTTAATAAGATGACCCCACTGGTAGTCATTATTTATTTTTTTATGAGAAATATCTATAACTCTTCATGTAATATGAGCCTTTTACTATGAAATATACTACCTTCCCCCTTAGGCCCCCCTTAGTTTTTTCTAGTTCTTTTATATTAACTTTTCCCTTTATCTTGTGGTTTGCTTTGATACATTATTGCCCACTCTCTGTGTGCTCCAGTTATTTAAGTTTATTCCTATTCATTGGCATAAGAGCATGAAGTAATAGGCTCAAGGGCAGATGGAGAGAATATACAAGCTAAGACTTGAAACCTGAAAGGCATTTCTTTGATAAAGGGGTAGCTCCGTTTAAGTGGGAGCATCTCCATTAGCAGTAATGGAGTAAGTACATCAACTGAAGCATCTCAGAGGTTAATAAGACTTCCTGGCCAGCCTCTGACATCAATACACTGTGGCGCCTGGTTTTGTTGGTCCTTCAGAGGCTTTCTTGACAACAATCTAACAGACTCTGTGTAAGTCATTTCTTGTGAATTATTGAAACAAATGTTTGGCTGCTAATTGAGGAACGTTACTGTGTTTTATAATCACTGCAGTTTGAGTTTTTAGCACTAAACAAAACAGTTACAATTGATTTGTGGGTTTTTCCTGGTTTCAGACAGCTGTAAGTTATATCTTTTTGCTTGAATTTAGCAAATGGCTTTGCTGGTCATTTATTTAAGTATTTATTAAGATACACTATTATGGTCTCCCTCCCCACCCCCTCCCGGGTATGTATGTGTGCTCTGAAATCATGAAGTGTGAGATCACAAGTAGTAACAGGAATAGATTACAAGGAAATACTGGACAGTGGTTAAAACCAAGCTTTGGAGATAGTCCTAGTTTCAAATTCTGGCTTTGTCGTTGGCTAGCTGTTTGAGCTGCTGTTTTACTTAACTTCTGTAGCCTCAGTTTTCTCTTAAACTGAGATGTTTGAGGAAATCTACAGAGAGCACTTATGTTTAGAGCCTTAACAAATCCCAGATTCATAGTAAAGGTTCCATAGAACATAGCTACAGTAAAATAATGCATTAATTACTACTGTTAGTTATATGGTGTTTTAATGGAAAATTTCTTTGGAAATGCATTTCCTTTTTTAAATTCTAACCTAATTGTTGATAAATAACACTTATTTTCCCAGAAGTATTTTTAAAGAGTCATCTTACTGAAGAGTAATTTGAAGTATTTTCATAATTTTTTCTCACAATACGAGAGTTGGAAAAATCATTTCTGAATGTGTCTCTGTTATACATAATTTTTGATATGCCCATGTAATCTAGACTACTTATTTTGGCAATAGTGACTAGATCCTTGTTCATTATTTATGAATCACATAATTTGCTTTTTGCTTTACCTTTCTTCCTTTTAGAGCCCCCCCAACATTACCTTGACATTATTGCTTGCTAATGCACACGAGACTAATTAGATGAGATACCCATCAAATAAAAAAATACACACAAGTTACTTTTATCTATTTGCTTTGAATGAAGTGCAACTTAAATGTAATTTTAAAGCATCTTAAGTTATCTTTAATCGAAATTGCATTTTAGAAGCGTTATATTGAATTATTTGCCCTTATCAGAGAGAAAAGAACCTTCTTTGCTAATTTTATATATTTCATTCATTTAGTAATTAGTATGTTGGATGGAGACTGTACTTTTCACAATCTAAATTTTGATGTACAATATTATATAACAGCATGTTATAGATTATCTTTGGAACCATGGTCTTTTTTTCAGATAGGGATTCTACCAGCATCCTAGTCATTTTCATGCTAAAAAATAGATTTCAGATTAGATTTAAAATTTTCAAAATATAGAATATCCTATAGTTCCTGCATCTTACTATGTCACATATTTTAAGTTATATACATTAAAAAGGGAAAAATAACTTTTATGAAAATTATATCCTTATGTGAAACAGGGCTTTTTAATTATTTACGTATGGCTTTATCGTCACCATGACGACTTTGGGGGCCGTACTGATACCATTCACTCAAACTGATACGGAATTTAAGGTCACACGAAAAGTCAGACTGAATTTGTGTGACAGTTCACTGCTACCTCTAAGCTCATAAGAAAATAAAGAATTTAACGGGTAGGAGAATTAACATATGCATGTTTCTGTTTAGATGCCAAATACTGATATGAAGTTATTTATAAATTCTACCTTTCATTGTACAGACCCTGAAAACTGGCCTGACAATGGTTGGGAAAGTGGTGACTCAGCTGACGGGCACGCTGCCTTCGGGGGCCACGGAGGATGACGTGGCCATCCATAGCAACTCGCGGCGGAGCCCTCTGGTCCCCGGCGTCATCACCGTGATAGACACGGAGACAGTCGGAGAGGGCCAGGTAAGGCCACTAAGACCCGCCCAAGTGTACTGGCCTGTCGGTTGTTCACTTGGATTCCTAGAAATCGAGGTTATTTCAGGTTAGCCCCCCGGGGCCCAAACAAAAGGATGAGTAATATGTTGGAACCTGTTATTTTAAATTCTATTAGTGTATCAAACCTGAAGATAAAATTAAGGTTCTAAGGGATTCTCTTGTTATTTCTTCATCAGGATATTTGTTTCACAAATAAATTACATACCTCTTTATACTGTTCTGTTCTTAATACTACTACTACTTTTTAAATGGGACTTGTTAGGACCTAAATCAGAATAATAATAATTTATTTTTAAAGCAGATGCTTGCTCATAGAAGATAACAGGATCTTATATATTTGGGGGAATGTAAAAAAAAATAATTGATTATGATGGTTACAAGTGACAGTAATGTGAATAATATCCAATTTTATTACAGATATTTTCTTATAAATATGAACAAATACATGAAATCTCAAAGTATATGTTAGAATATATACATGATAATTGCCAATTGTAAAATTCTATATTTTCAGATAAAACAGATTTTAAAAATCTAGGCTCAGAAACATTTAGAAGGAGTGATTATAAACATGGGAAAATACATTATGCTGGCATTTAAATCTATTTGATAAGAAACCAATTGGGTTTAGTTTTTTTCCTCATGTACTCATAAATATGTATTTTTGTGTATTAGAGTTTTAGATTTTAAATACATTTCTGAAAGGAAGTAATTTTAAAATTCAGTTAGTTTGTGATCATTGCTATAAAATAAAATCTTATATCTACTGAAATAAGATAGGAGTAGAGCCACATTTGTGAAATAAGAATGTTAACTTTAGCCCAGCTGGCATGGCTCAGTGGTTGAGCATCGACCTAGGATCCAGGAGATCGTGGTTCGATTCCCGGTCAGGGCACATGCCCGGGTTGTGGGCTCGATTCCCAGCAGGGGGCGTGCAGGAGGCAGCCGATCAATGACTCTGTCATCATTGATGTTTCTATCTCCCTCTCTCCCTCTCCCTTCCTCTCTCTGAAATCAATAAAGACATATTAAATTTTTAAAAAAAAATTTTACATGGACTATATACTTAATTCTGTTTTCAGGATATAATGTTTAGAAATATGTGAGCCTTTAAAGTATTAACCCTAAACATTGGATGCTTTTTTGAGAAAAATCTGCTTCCAGTATATATGTTTTTACATCTTATTGAAAGATTACATTTGTCAGCTACTCATGTACTAATTCCTGTAGTAAGATCAAGTGGCATTTCAAAAAAAAAAAAAAAAGAGTCTACTGCAATTAAAAGACCCCCCCCCAAAAAAAAAATCTCTGAAATTTTTGGTTATTGAATTTGGTTATTGTATTTTATTTGAAATCTGAATAATAATATTTCTCTACCTCACCCATCTTAACTTTGTGGTTAACCAAATATGTTATGGACTTGTATTCTTGTTTAAAACTCTTTTCAATGAAGTGCTAGCAAACTTTTCAGTTGACCGTATGGCATTTAAAAAAGTTGTGTTAATTAGCTCAAGTTGATGGACACCTACAGATGTTCTCTTTTTAAATTGGAATTAAGTATATAAACCCTTTAGTGTTTTATGAGTGTTAAAGGAAAAATTATTTTCCTTTGTCCTTTGATTCTTAATGAATTCACCTCCAAGGCCACCCACGTTTACTGAGAGTAGTAACAAGCCTTCTCAGCATTGTCTAGTGTGGGGAGTGTAAGCATGTCTGTTAAACATCTAGCCTTTGCTGACAGACAGATTTGTGGTCATTTAAAAGGAGGAAATGCTATCTCTCATTATCTCTGATGAACTAGAGATGTAACTCATTATTTTATTATGTTTAAGTGTAGGAGCATGTAAAAGACAAAATTAAACGAATTTTATAAAAAGCATGTCAGTAGGCCTTATGCTTTCAAATGTGTGTC